ACACATTCACTCAGCGATGGCAAAGTCCATCGAACAGAAACTAACTCATTCATACACATTCACAATTTGGGGTTCAGTATCTTGCTCAAGGACACTTCGACATGTGGCAGGAGGATTGAACAACCAACCTTCCGATTAGTGGACGACCCACTCTTCCTCTGAGCCACAGCTGCCCGATATTCAGTTACTATGTGATCAAAAAGTCGAACTTATTTTCTAGATACCTGCTGATCATCTCATACTTAAGTCCCCCCTCGAGTCAAAGTGATTTTACCTTCTCATTTTATCACACATGTTTGAGCTTCACTGTGCAGAATGATGTATGAGCAAAGTTTGACACTAGATGGCCGTTTATACTTTCATCTGCTGAAGGGACAAAGTTTCTCTGTGCTCACCATAAATCTGAGTTTGACATACCAGAAGGACTTTGTGACAGCATGACTAGTTTGGAGCAAATCATGGTCCATTATGTAACTTACTTTATCCAGAAGTGGGTAGGACTAAGCAGAAGTTGTAAACTTTAAGACAGATATGAGTTGATCAGAAGTTGCTTTATTTATTAGAAACTATTAATAGAATTTAGCAAGAACAATGTTTTTGATTCCAAGAGTAGGAAAACTGCTTACAGAATATGTTCTTTAATCAAAGTTGTTATATTTACAGGTACGGATATTGACACATTTTATGATGCACTCATAAAAAGTACATTATCTGTATCGGAGACTTGTTTCAGCCGAGGTAATGACTAAACCCTTGTCTGCCCTTTAGCTACCCATCAAGATTAATATGAAGCACATGTTAGAAGAACAGCCTCTGAGCTGCAGTGGTTTTAATGGTAGATAGACTGTACTTATATAGTGCCTTTCTAGTCTTCTGACCATTCAATGTGCTTTACACTACATGTCACATTCACCCATTCACACTGATGACAGATGCTCATTGGAAAGGAAAACTGAGTACATTCACACACTGATAGCACAGCATTTTGGGTTCTTGTTCAAGGATTCTTTGACATGCAGCAGAAGTTGGGGATCTAACCACCAGTCTTCTAAGTTTTCTCCCCACAGGAATAACAACAACTCAACAGTAAAACTGCTCCACATTATGATCTTTGAACTCTGGAGAACTTTCAGCCTGAGGCAACATAATGGAGACCTTTACCTGTCAACACAACAAAATTATTGCATGTTCTAGTTTCAGAATTTGGCTCGTTTTGCTGCACACACGAATGCTGTAGTATGTTCTAAAGCTGTCAGAAGCAGAAAGCCATCCGTGCACATCAGTTTAACCTGTCATCCTGCTGCAGTAATATAGAAGTGTGCTCCAGGGTGTCTCAGGATACCGTGACATCACTGTTGGGTGTGGCTTCAAGTTGTATCAGAGAACACTCAAGATCATACCAAACAGAGGGCAACAGGCTTGAAACTTTCACCTTAATGTTCTATAGTTGAGTGTAATTCATTTGCCAAGAAAGACAAAACACACAATAAAAGTTCAAGATGAATTTTGACTAGCATTACGTTTTTCTTCTGAATTTTCTATAGATATCACAGTACTGTGAATTCTTTTGGTCATGATAATCAAGTAGTGAGAATCTGATATTGTGACAGCTCTACTTTGAACGGGAGCAGTCAGGCAAACACTGGTGCTAATTTGCTCTTTATTCTTTACCAGATATTAAGATGTACTCGTAACTGGTTTAAATGGTGATGTTTACCGAAATCCCAAAAGACAACAATCAGTAAGGACTATCAGACGTATAATACAAAAACTTATTCTCAATTATAGGTGTCTTCTGGTAAGTTCGGCATTAAAGGAAAAGGTTTTGATGCATTTCAAGAAATATTTATCTTTTCATTATTTGATTTTCTGCTTTTTGCTATACACCATTTCTCACATTTGAAACATTATCACTCTGTGCTGTTCTTTGACATTTCTTTTCAGTCCTGGTTCATAGTTACAATCCAGGATTGTCAGTTGTTTGGGAGCCGCCAGGGCTATTACTATTACGATCTTTAAGTGTTTCCTCTATCAAATAGTCAGTACGATAGCTGGGTTACTCTGACATGGAAGTCAGTGATACAAACTCCTGCAGTCATTCAGATTGTATGTCCTCTATCTCTTTCTCTGTGTTTTTGTTCGTCTGGGTGTAGGAGTGTATGTACTGTATGTGCACACACTCCAGAGCCGCTGCCAACCAGCTCCAATCCTTCTGTGAGTGCTGAGTGGATGATGAATGCACTTCTCTGTCTATTTTCTTCTCTTTCTCTCAGTAAGTCTAAAGGAACACAGCTACTGAGGCCAGACTGAGGTCACTCTTTGTCACACACATGCACATATATAGTATTAGAAATTTCTATCTATAAAATAAAGACATTGATGTGATTAAATAAAACAGCTGCTTATAAAGTAAAAACCTAAGCAGGAATCTCTGTGGCTTGAAAAATCTGATTTACACACACACAGAAATCCTCTTCTTACTCCAGTGTCCAAAGAAACAGGAAGTGCAATGAGGATGATTCACACACCCTCCTGATTGGACGATGAGTCAGTGACTTGACCCAGAGGTCTTAGAATCACCCTGAATAGGTTCTCATGCATTCTCTATTTCTGTCTCTTTGTGAATCCCACTCGGGTTTGTCTAATCCACATTAGTCCAAGTTTTAGAATGAAGTTAGGTTGCTCCCCAAATGTCGCTGCCATAGAAATTACAATATATCATGATAATTAGCTTTCAATTTGTGTCTTATCACACACACGATCTGTTTTTCACTCACTCATTCTATGGCATTATCTTCCAGTCCTGGGTATTGATAATTTTAGAAAAATATAATAAAATATTGTGATTTTTCTAACCAACCTAGCGACTGCAATTTAAATTGCGACTATGTCTCATAATCAGCTTGCTTTGATGCATGCCCCAAAACCCCACTGCAACCCTAGCACTTATACGGAACATTTTAAAGCCAAGCAGTTTCTTCTCTCCTCCTCTTTCTCCTCAGCATGTCA